TACTACTACTACTACTACTACTACTACTACTACTACTACTACTACTACTATACTACTACTCCCATACCACCACTACGACTACCAAAACTACTAAGACTACTACTGCTAGTTCCCAAATAGTTGTGGTTGGGCTTGACACTATTCACTCTCAGTCGACTGTTTACCTGGGGGTTTGGGACCTCTCTCATGCTTCCTTCGGCCAGCTCTTAAAGGCAGGTTGGAGGCCATCGCTCTTAGGCTACAGAGGCCATCGCTTCTGGAGGCCAGTAAGCTACTAGTAAGCTACTAGTAGCTAGAAACTACGGTGGCATTGCTAGTAGCTTGGAGGTCATTGCTATAGCAACCAAGAAAAGGTCAGGTCTATCGGTCTCGGTCTCGCCGGTGGCGGTCACGGTCCCCCCGGCGGTGTCGTCCGACATCGCCTGAGGTGCACTTCGTCGGCCACGCCGCACACCACGCGGCTGCGGGGCCAGGAGCCCGAGAGCTCGCCGAAGTGGGCCAAGCGCCTTGGTGTCGCCGGTAGAAGGCCAGTGCCGTGCCGTCGACAAGCTCAGCGGGTGTTGGACCGGGGTTCCTGTCTGGACATCCGAAGAGCTAAGGGTGTAGGTCGAGCTCAAGCTCTCCGGGTGCCGTTTCACTGGCTGGCTGGCTGAAGGTCAGGGAGAAGAGAGAAAGACCATGGTTGGGAAGACCTCAAAGCTTCAGAACCCATGAAAAGTCTCCAAGGGGCTTCTTTCATCTTCTGTTCTGGTCCGTTGCTCAGTGTTTCCAGGTCATGGTCCGGATGGATGTTCGGACAAAGTCCGGATGTTTGTCATGCAGCTGCAAACGAGTTTCTGGACATCCGCGATGACCTGTTGCCAGAAGCGCTGCTCATCCCTAAGAGAATCCAGCTCATCTCGTAGCAGGCAGCCTACGCAGTTGAAGGACGGACAAAACACACACTGGAGCACTCACTCTGACCACAAAACCGCGGCAGGGGGGTTCAATTGGGCACAACCTCAACTTGACCTCAAATAAATTTCAGTTGCAGCGAATTGAGGCACAGGCAGGCGCAGGCTGCTGTTTTCATGTTGAAAACCACATCTAGGTACGCACGGGTTCATACGTTTGATAGAAAGACTTCTCCATGTTTTGTGTTGAGTGTTCAACCATGTTTTTGTTTTTCAATTTTGTCCCGTTGCTACTGGAGCAGGCAAGCTTCGCGTGTCTCCCTTGCAGCCCAGCTTCGCAAGTTGAAGAGTGCATGATGGCCACAAACCCCATCGTGCCATTGATCCAGGCTCTGCAGTTGCGCGATCTTGCGCTCCTGAAGCGAAGTGGCGGAAGAATAAGACATCGATATATACCAGAACTTTCCAAGAGGTTTGACACCCCTTAACCTCTAAGAGGCCATACAACCATTGATTACATAAAATTCAAAGGACGACCACTGTCCGATGACCAAACAGGCAGTGAGCTTCACTGCATGACGATTTCATACACCCCTCGACCCTCCAAGGGGTCACTTGGTCCGTGTCTTTGTTGAAGCAAACTCCCAAAGCCATGTTAGATCGTTCACTGTGATCGAGGTCAGTCGTGGTCCGTGTCCTTAGTTGAAACATCAAACATCAAACGTCCTTAAGTTGAAGCCTGGCAGAAAGGCCTCTCACGAGGGTGGCCCTCCCAAGCCTTCCAGGTATCAACCAAAAACGAACAGCTAAAACACCAAAATACCTAGAAGCACCTGATGCAACAATTCATGCCTCAGTCCTGATCTTTTCAGCCGAAAGGATCTTCGTTTGGTATGGCATACTTCACACTGGCAGTCTCAGGGTCTCAGTCTGAAGGCCGAACGGGGAGCGCTCTGAACGCTGGACATCGGGACAAGACGAGATTCACAAAAAACGGGGATGGCAAACTGAAAGCGATGGTGCGGGGAGACCCAGGAATCAGTCCTGGCATTGATCAATCACATCAACATCTTCAAGGAGTGGATCCTTCTTCTGCTTTTTCAGCATGCCATCTGAAGGCGTATCCTCATCAAGTGAAAACCACACCAGTGATGGAGAAATAAACACAAGCATTGTGGCCATCACCGTGTTTTTTTTAAACCCCGTGAGCACAACGCTTGTATGTCCAAGTCTCAGTGTGGGCAATTTGTTGGAACGATTGGATCTACCACTTCTTGTGCCAAAAGCATCTGTGGCAGGAGCTGTTCCTAGTCTCTTCACAGCTACATTCAGAGTCGTTGCTTCTTCGCCAAGCCACTGTTTGTCCAAATAAATTGCCTGACGCGCAGTCGAAACATGTGATTTAACAAGGCAAATATGCGGCTTGGGGCTCTTGGCGCTTGTGGCTCTGGCTTGGGGACCACATGCATCAGCCTTAAGAGACCTGATTAAGAGATTTGACGACTTCAGGGATTTGAACTGGAGTACTCAAATCTTCAGATATCTTCAGGACTTGGGCAGTTCTGCAGCTCCAAACTAGGATGCGGATGAGGTGATCTTTTGGACGTTCAATGACTGGATGGCCAGGTCAAACATGGGCATGTTGGATGATGTTGCATGTAGGGAATACACAACTTCCTGTGGCAATCAATCCTGTAGACGGAAGGTCCTCCTCATCTCAATGAGTGAAACAGGTGTCATAGTGCAATCAAACCCGGATACCTGGTCCTTTACCTCATTGAGTAGCGTGTTCAGTATAATAAACTCCAGTACAACACGGACTTTGACTGGCAAAGACACATTTTGATGTTCCCAAAATTGTTTTGTTCGACTCAGCCAAGTGGCCAATTAGTCCACACTACTCAAAACCTGAAGTTGGGCCCATGCTCGACTCAATGTCGATGAAAGACTTCAGAGTTCTAAAAACCAATCACATCAATGTTATAATTTTGCAAAGTCAGCTTTGCCGATTTTGCCTCATTACCCAAACACGACTAATGGGACTGCCATATATGCCGCCCCATTGACCCCCAGTCAACCACCCCAATGTAGGCAGTCCCATGGAGTGTCTGGGTTATAACTATATGAGGATCCTGGAACAACATTTCCCCGGGGAACATCCACCATCACCACTACCATCATCTTGCGCGCCTTGGAGCGTACAGCTGGCGGTCAGGAGCTGAGCCACTTGTGTCACGGAGGCGTTGGAGGGAACCTGTGCGAACAGGGCGAGCCGGGAGGATTGGACTCGGAAAGAAGTGGATTCAAAAACGCGCAACATGCCTGTGCTTGGCTTGCCTTGTGGTGGCGGAAATGGATATAAGGCTCACAGGAAGATTGACACCAGTAGCTACCAACACGATCGAGCTTGCGAATCCGCCGTAGATCACCGCCGACCAGGTCGGTGGTGTGGACCAAACGACAAACGACACCTCGATCCAAAACCATACGCTGGTTAAGTCAATCTGCCCACGAGTTCGAGAATGTCCATTCTGCAATTGTCGAGCACAGCATTCAAAGACCCAACCCGGCGGTGAAGACTTTAAGCACTGCACAGAGGCACAAAGAAATGTGCTGAAAGACTATATGAGTTGTCCCTTTGGCTGAGGTGTGGAACCTCAATATGACCAAAGCAAAACCCAGGATACAGACCTTTTGAAATTTTGCGAATGAAGATGATGGCAAAAATCAAACGTGGATCCCATTTTCGCTCCGAGAAAAAAATAACAAAAACAACAAACACCCCGTCCAGCGGTTCCATACTCCGTCCTACCGTGCCTGCAATTCCAAGGCCTTTGCCTTTGGAAGGCGATGTGGAGTTGCGATGGGACTTTTCTTCGGAGATGCAAAGGAAAGGACTGGAAACCGAGAACAGGCGCATACTCTCAAAGAACATGTACACCTATACATCAGACATAAACATAAACAAAATATAGAAAAATAATATACAAGAGGACAAAGCAAAGGAAGCAACACTGACAACACATTGTACTTCCAAACTGGCATCCCAAAATAGGTACGGCAACAATGGAAAATGCCCACATGTGTTCTCCATCAACAAGGCCAAAATGCTTCAATCACTGCTTTGGGATGAGATCAAACATGTACCCCTTGTCATGTCGTCTTGTGGTCATCTATTTTCCACAACTACACTAATCCACAAACATCTTCAAACAAGAGCTACCGTCAGGTGCGTGCCCCCGCAAGCTCAGCTCCAAGAACCCTGCCAAGCAGAAACATGGAAAAAAACACGGTTTCTTTGCATCTCAAGGATGTTCCCTCCAACAAACAGGGTTTCGTGGACAATCCCCTGTTTGTAGAAAAGCATGGTCTCCCAAGGGTCATTGTTCACTTCCACAAGTCTTGGAGGGAGGGTAGAATGAATTAAATATTGCCTATTGCCGGCGGTCCAAAGTTGACCCAATTTCTGGTATAGAAAGGCCGCTGAACTCCGTCAAAATTTCCTTACCCCGCAAAATAAGCATCCCAACCATCCCTTCCGCAACGACAAGGACCCCACCTCGCCGCCCGAACTAAGCTCCAATTGCACCCGGGCAGGGGGCCACGGAGCAGTGCCCTGGCGTGGTAAACATTGCGAAAAAAACCATAAATCTTGCCAAACGGTGGCTTCGAAAATAATTAACAATCATGTTTTATAGAGTATGGGCCAAACGTTTGAACAATAACTTTACCAGCAGGTCCACAGAGGTGTCAATTGGAGGGCGCTAAAACCCTCTGTGACCTTTGTTGCTTTTGTTCAATATTTGATGCTGCACATAATGAACTGGTCGTAATGCTTGTCTGTCGTGCAGGAATGTATGTGTACGGGAGGTGTTGTCCCTCCATTGGGTCATGGACAAGTGTCAAGTCGACTCTAGACAAATCTTTGCATGACCCTAGGAGTGTACTGACTTTGGGCCAACTGTCAACATGCTGCCTGTCCGCAAGCATTCGCTGCACTGCTAAGTGCAAAAAATTAAGCAAACAATAACAAAACATAAACTGTTGTTGTTTGAACATGAGTGTTCTCCCCTTGGATGGTTTTCTTCAAATCATCCACCCATGGCCGCGCCTGAGCCATCGTCGCCACCAAGGCAGCTTGGAAGCCTCCCTCCAAAGGCACCTGGCATGCGTCCAAACACCAGTCCGTCCCGAACGGAAAGAAACGCGACCGTTTTTCCGGTGAAGAGGTGCGCCTCCCATTTCAGTTGAAGAGGTGCGTGAAGCGCACGCCAAAGCTCCTGCTTCAACGCAGGGGAACCCTTTTTCATCCTCATGGGTTGGATCGCAAGCGCGATCAGAACTCTTGGATCGCTGTGCTGCTTTGATGTCACTGAAGGGTCATGTGGAACCAGAGCGAGGAGTGCCTTATTCCAGCAGCCAAGCCCTAGAATCCTAGAAAAATTGCTCTAAATCGATACGTTTCCATCATGGCATTTCAAGGCGTATCCACCATGCAAGGGCAGTTTTTCCGTCGGCAACATGGCAATCCTGTCTCATTGCCCGCGTGGAGGATACCTAAGCTACCGTGGTTTACAGTGTTTTTTTTGGCGCGCGACGTTCTAAAAACATCGTGCTTTACAGTGTTTTGTGCGGTTGGATGGGGCCAGATTCTATCTTGGCGATGTAAAAGAACAAAAAACACGTACTACGTAGTTTTTATAGGGTTCGGGCCTCGGGTCCGGGGCGCAAAAAGTGGCGTCTTGAGGCGATATCAACATAGATGGCACATTCAGTACCCCCATAGCCTCAAGATATACCGGGTTTACAAACAAAGCAACGTAAGTAAGCCTATGCATGCTTATGCGGCCCCGCAGCAGCTGAAAACTCGGGCGTCCTAAGGACCCGGTCTATGCGTTGGGTTTGGCACATGTCATGGACTCGATGGTCCTTATAAAGCTCATGTACTGTGACCGATGTCACTCGCTCGGATTTCGGGTACATTCCAAAGCTCCTGAAAAAAAGTGATGGCAGCTACCTGAACCTCTGAACCCAATCTCTACACCAAAGAGCTGCGTCAAGTCCCCCAGCCCTGGAAAGTTCACAAAGAATGGCCTTTTGGATCCGAGGTAAGTCCCACCGTACGTTGAGAAGTTGGCTGGCCTGAAACAGGGTCTGTCACTGAAGTGCAGGGAACAAACAGTACAGGAAAACACGTCGCCTAACACCAAGACAAACGGGCTTTTCACGGCTGAAGAAATGCGTTTCACGGCTTTTCCCTATGTCACCGTACTGTGGGAACCAACGCCGGTTCCCACTCTGACGGCTCGTCCTCTGCCGCAGGAAGCACCGCCAGGGGCTCGGTCGTCAAGGTCGCACACAGCGCCATGGTAACGATGCGGAGTGGCTGCGACGTCAAAAAAACAGCTGAGTCTGAGTGGCTGAAACGATCATGTTTTTAAATACAGAAATCCTATGTCTCGGCGTTTGGAAGAGCTGGACTTATTTTTGTTCCATCTTTTGAAGCAACAGATCTTGTGTCTCGGCGTTTGGAAGAGTTATAGAAGATACACCGAGCATCACCGTGGCTGCCTTTGTGCCTTTGCCCACTTGTCTGGATCTGTGGCCCAGAAATGCCGTGATATGTTTGGTCAACTTGTGAATGACTGTCACTGGCAAATCTGTGTTCGGCCGATGCTTGGCGACGGCAGCGGAAAAGACACTGGCTACTGACCTGGCTGTAGATGAACATGAAGAAACACACGCACAAAACCCTGGGCCTGAAAGGGACCTGACGACCCATGTGAGTTGAACACTTCGGGACTTCACCGAGGCTGCTAGTTGAAGCACTTGAAAGCCTGGCGAAGATGATGACTTCATCATGTTTTAGATTGAAACTCCCTCCAGGAATATCAAACGTCACATACTGCAACCATCTGCCACCAATGTCACTACAAGTAGCTGCAAATGTCACCAACTGCTCCAAAAGATCCTTTTCAAGGGTCACCAACAGCTCCATCTGGTGGCACTGTCTCATCGTAAAACCCATCATGCTCCATCTGAGCCCACCTTGTCGGAGATACTTGCCAGTGCGACCTGTGTGTATCGTGCGGTGCTACATTCGGTGACATGTGATGGCGAAGACGTTGGGTATGAACCACTGCGAAGACGTTGGGCCTGACCAAACACAACATTCTGTTGTCTATATATATATATATCAGATTATATCAGTACAGGTACTAGAGGCGTATTATGAAGGTCGCTGTACTTCGCTATACATTGTAAACATTTGTAAACCACATTTCTCAGAACTCTCGGCCGACAGGGTCCGTTTGGGACATCACTTTCTGCAAAAACAGGGGTCAAAGAACTCCCCGGCCAACCGACCAGGGTTCCAACGACCAGTGATTTCATAGGCGAATAACCGAACAACTAGGGCTTTTGACTAGGGCCTTTATACGACTCTTGGGAAATTTAATTCAAGCCACTAGTTCTTGTATGCACTTGTGAATTTGACCAGCCCAAGCCCACCAGCTTTCTGCAGAGGGGTCAGGCCACATCCACGGCGATTGAAGGGGGTTCGGCTGGAACCTTTGTATGATATGAATATATATATATATGTCCACGGATCGAAACGAAGGTGAGCATTGCTTATGATAAAAACATGTATATATATATATACCAAATGTGCTGTCTGCAAAGAGCTTGAACACAGCTACCATCTGCTAACACTCACTTGTGACATTGTGACTTAAATGATCTTAACATGTTGCGATCTATCGAAAAGACAACTCGGAGAGCGACGCAGACAAGACTTGGGCCGGAATCGAAGGACTTCCATGGCATCTGGACTCTTCTTCTTTTCAAACGCTCAGTCGGACCAATTGAACCAGTGAAAACGGCGCTTCGGCTGGTTTCCACGGTGCTTGAACGGGCGATTCTCAGCTTCGACCCTTTGAACTCCGGTTTGCGTTGGACACATATATAGAATATATAAGTTCAACATCCTGAAAAAGTAATGATCTCATTTCTAATCATCAATCCTAATGCGTTATAATATAGGTAGATCTTTGGAGGGGGTGCCATATAGCTAATTAGGGGTACCGTAATATAAATAACTATTATATGTCCAACTAGTTCCTGTGGAATTCAATCAACTGGGGCCGGCTCCCGGGCTTCCGCTCGGCGACGTCCCGGGCCCCCGAACGTCGATGTCCTTAGGGTTCCGCTCGAGCTCGGTGGCGCCACCGAACCCGTAGCCGTGGTGAGCGGCCGTTCCGGTGAGATCCAAATTCTGTCGTTGGACCAAAACCAATTTCCTATCCCTAGGGATCCACTGCCACCTTCTCAGGTTAGGTACGACTGGGCCCTCCTGGCGCCTACATAAATAGTCTCCAATCACCGTACCTGAGAAGGTACGACTGGATCCCTAGCGTGTACATATATATAATTCAACTGATTTCAAATAGATTCAACATGGTGTGTGGAAGATAAACTCCCCACAACCTCGTGGAAGGTCCAGGTATGAACACACATGTTCTTCATGCGTTGGATCAACGTTCATGGGTCAGTCTGGTCAGTCCTTCCACGCACACCCTGGTGGATGGACGGTCACCACTCCATGCACGTGCCGATCTATCTCCCCCAGCCCAGAGAGAAATGATAGGTGAGCACGGGCTGCACGGGCCGGGATTGAAACACAAAGGTGCCCCCCCAAAAATCAACATGTGGAACTTACCAGACATGACCAAAGCATCTTTGGATCGAGGAGCCACCGCCATAGGAACATCTTAAACTTAAGAAAAATGGTAGTTCACTAGATAGAGTGTTGGGACATGTGGTGGATTGTGTCCAGTATGATCCAAATGCCAAAGAAAGATGCCCATGGGAAAAGGAAAACATATGAACAATACACTATCCCTTCAGTCAGGAGGCTAAGCAATGCGGCGTCTCTGGATTAAAGACTCGCTTCTTCCACATGTCCTGCAGCTCAGGTTGGTCCAAGCAAATGAGACATTGGTCTTTGTTCAGGTCCCAGACGCCGAATCAAGCATTTGGCAAGCCAGATGTCAAAAAATCATCAATATGGATCATATACCTAAAGATCTTCCAAACATATAACATTTTATGCCATTTGATGCAATTTGGCTAGTTTTATGGATGAACTGGCAGAATTTGGGCATAGTTTGAACAATATACTATTCAGATTCAACTCTCCCATATTGTTGGGAAACCTCCGTATGGGTTCAAGTCAGCACCCCCCCAGAAAAAAAAAAAAAACGTTTGCGAGTGCACGCACTTTTCGAGGTACGAACTGAGACGCTAGATAGCTCTGCTTCACCGGATCAGGGTCCATCTACGGCCTACAGCACTTGTTGTACTGTCTCCTCCAAGAACCCTTACAAGTCTTGTCATTAGTTTCAGGCACCCGTTTTTGTACTTAGCCCCAAACACCCTCTTCGGGTAAACCCACACTCATTTGATGATTCTAGCGGGTCAAAACATCCAATGTAGACATGTACACTGCTGATGAATATCCCTCCCAGACATGGATTGTACACCTCTTTATATGCGAGGTGTTATCAAACCAAAGCCTGAATCAATGACTATGCGGTCTTCCGGTGGCATCCGAGACTCCACACGCAGGAGTCCAAAAGACGAAAAACGAGAACACACCCCGCCTGGATACGCCCCAGGTGCTCCGTACGGTACAAGACCCCATGGAAGCCTCGAGTTGTTGTGGCAGAAATTTGAGTTTCGCGCAGGAACATCCAGTGGGAAACAAATCAGTTGACGAAATCATGCAACCGCAACCAGTGACCATCGCGCTAGTAGAAAGGACGGGTCAAGTACGACACCACTTGGTTGGCAGTCCAGCAGGTCCATTGAGACTGGGAGTGCATGCTCCAAAAGTATCAGCAACCACCGGGTAAAGGTACAAAATAGGCAACACATCTAAAGACAGCCCGTGCAAAACCAAAGCAAAACAATGGTAAAATATTGTAAAATTGTGTAACATTCATGAATGAACTGAAAAAGGCTGCTACAAACAAGACCGGACTGCGGCCAATTCTAACAATGACGTGCCATTGGGAAATTGGAAGACTCGATAGAAATGGTGATCCAGTCTTTATCTCCAACTCAAATTGGTGGCATGTGCCAGTTTCCAACCGACCATCGGGTATATATAATCATATCTACATCAGTCAGTCAAATTGAAATCCTTGTGTCTCCAACTTGGCAAGCTCTCTCAATGACACCGACAAGCCCCCCCATGGCGCCACCCCCGCCACACCGGCGCAACGTCCCTCGTCTCGTGGAAATCCATGCGCCAAGTCACCCCAGTTGACGCCAGCGTGGCATAAACTGGCCGAGTCGGAGCGTGCCAAGCTTCGACGACTTCTACCGCCGCACAAACGTGTCGCGTGCTGTGGGGCACTCCTCTTAGCGGCCCAACTCAAAAGATGACCATGACATGTATGTCCACGACATAAGCTTGTTGTTCAGCTTTTCATTTCAGCTTGTTTCAGTTCCGCAATCATGGCCTTGTCGGCTGCGAAGGAAAACATCATCTTCCTCTACTGTGATCCGGTGTAATTCAGGTCAATATAGATATAGCCTAGCCTATCATACTTAGCATCAACATGCCTCCCCGACTTATTTATCTTTTTGTTGGTACTTGAAACTCCCATGCCTCCCACATCAGTTGTCTGACCCATTGATTGATTCTTTGCACATCAGACCCGCCAGGAACCCGCGCTTATCGGGCTCGTTGGCATCTGGTTGGATCCGAGCGACGTGTTCCGAGACCTCAGGGAGGAGGACGACCGGGCGACCGTTCTTTTTCGGAGGATCTGGGTGATGTGTGCCGTTTTTTCGACCTTCGACCTGTATACAGTTGATTGTGATGTATTGGTTGATGTACTTTGGTTTAGTTTAGTTTGGTTTAGTTGATGTACTATTATTACTCGATTCTTTTGAAGCGGTTGTGTAATAGTTGAAGTGGGTTTGCTTCATTTATGTAATGTTTGGTTCTTTTGTTCGTTTGGACAACTGTTCAACCCTTTCTTCGAGTTACCCCAGTTTAGGACTGACCTCTATGATATATATATGCTGCCCCAAGAACCCCCAAGAAATTGCTGTCACACCAGAAACTGTGGCTGGACATTATAATCATATCTTCAAAAACGAGCAACATCTGGTTGTTTGCTTCCAAGCTGAAGCCGTTTTGGAACAGCACCCACGCAAGGTGTCCCCAGAACGGTATTTTTGTAGGTAGAAGACAAGAGAGCTTGCAGGGCTAAGAGCCAAGATGTGTTTGTTCTTTTGTTCGAGAAATTGGTGGAAATTGTTTTGCGTTGCAAAACATCCAAAGCATTCAGGGCCTCTGAGGTCCAGGTATTAAACATCTTCAAAAGCTTGGTTGAAACCGGTCTTTGAAGCCCTGAGCGACACCTATCCGGCAACACCTGGCCGGCAAGTGACCGTGGTGGTCCAATTAAATAGCACAAACCAACCTCACTCATGCTTTGATCGGACAGTTGCACCGGTCACTTCAAGTATCATACCTGTGAATTGCAACCTTGAGCTTGAACTGTTGTGTTGGAGCTTCACGAGCAAGGACGCTACTAGGGGCTCCTGGCCATACTCCTAGGAGCAAGGACGCTACTACCCATGTTCACATATTCCAGGTTCCATCTTTAAGCAAAAGATGCTTCGAAGCTGATCCCTGCGCTCGAACGACCCATCGGAGTGCGGTGTCAGTGAGGGGTGCCCTCTCCCAGAGCACAAAGACCCTCAGCTCAGCCAGATCACACACATTCCGTAGGCACATCGTCCGAGAAGTTGCAAGACGTCCCAGTCGCATGGCAGCTCCTGGCTCGTCGTTCCGCGGGAGCGGGAGCTGCAGATCAGAGTGAACATGTTCTTTTTATTCTGCCATTCTACTGTATATTACAGTATAAACATGCGTTTTCACTTGAACACCAAGTCTTTCATCTTGTTTCTTGTCTCACCGGTTGGCAGCTAGCATTGAACATGCTTTTCGGGGAAACTTCTTCGGATCTTCAATGCAACTTCAACCACCGGAACACACAAGAACCAGCACTGCTAATAACCTCTCGGACCTACGTATATAAGTGTTGACTTTTCTGCCAGCGGCCATCAAATGTGTCCTCGTTTTTTGTTTTTCCTCATTTTGTTCGCCATGTCTCCTGTGTGACGATGCGCCACAAGTTGGTGACAAAGCCATCCATGAGCCAACTATCATCCTGACCACGAGCCGAACTCTCGACGTGTTCGAACATGTTCCGTTTGTAGGTCGTCATGTAGGTCGGGGAGGAGGTTGCAGGGCTGTGCTTCTCTTCGCCTCCACGTGTGGCGAAGGGGAACATCTGGAGAACCTGAAGGGTCTGAAAAGACCTCAAAAGTCAGCTGTTTTTTTTTCAGCACTTCTTCAGACTCAATGAGGATCCCATCGTCGATTCCATCTGCAAGTCGATTTCTCCTCCTCCAACTCACCTGCTCCGCTTCTCGGACGGTCCTCCAAAACCAAGGCTACTCTGGGCTTCTCGTAGAGGATCTGGCTCTGTGCCTTGAAGTGAGCAGCAGCCTCAGCTGAAACACCAGGAGTCAGATGTGTCAGATGAGAGGAGGAGAGTCCTCCCAAAGGATCGCTCCTCCCAAACGCTCCAACCCACACCCAGACCCAATCCAGTCGTCGCGTGGCGGTCTTGGAGTTCGTACCACTAAAAAATACTAAAACTCTTCTGCGCAATTTCCGGGCACGAAGCGTAAGGATCTGTAGGATCGTTGGGGTGGTGGAACCGGCATCTGAGTTGTTTGTTGGTGATCCTTCCAACATGGTGCTTTTGTTGGAAGAACTGAAGAAAGGACAATCACATATTTTCATACGATAGAACATGCACCTGAGTTATACAATTGGATACAATTGGTACATCTGTACATTGTCACCTTCTTTCCCACTAGTTACTAGATGTTACTAGTTCACCCCAGCACAGTGAACCCCTTGTGGTGTCCGGCTGCTTTTGGGCTCTGCTTTCAACCAGCTATTGGGGGCAAAAAACATCACCTGGACTACCTGAGCACCGGATATAGTTCTGATTCAGATTAATCCCGAGTACCTATTTAAAAACGGACCCCAATTAAAAAAAAGTCATGCCGGATCCCCTAAATTCGGTTTATATTTGGTTTTAAATTGCCGCCCTTTCAAACCGCTACTAAACTACCAACATGGTCGATTTTGGGGGTAGTTTTTTTTATTAGGTTCCCCAAAACTCCACCATGACACGCCGCGCTTACACCAGCAGGCTTTCCTTCCCTCAATGGCACGGACTCACGCAAACGCACTTGCCACCGAGGTCATGCAACACCGCATGGCACAGCGACATCACCTTTCGAAAGCTTTAGCTGTTAGTCTACTGAAGAATCACTATTCTAATGAAGGTTTTTGTAGGGGAAAAGGAAGACCCTTCGATCTGGCGGTTTTTTGCATTTTTGATATGAGTTTAATAAAGGATTTTAGATAAAATTTTCCTGGATTACTTTTTGGTTTTGAAACTCTTTCCAGGTGACCCTATTTTGGACACCCCGATTTCAGGGACCCCCTATTAAAAAAAAATGCGACCGAGGTTTCCTTATTAGGGGGGGGGGGGGGGGGGCCCGTGTTTATTATTAGGGGGACGGGATTAAAATGTCTGAGCTGAGCTCGGAGTGCTTGGGAGATAACTCCCCAGACTTGTTAGTGACTCATGTGAGCATCTTCAAACATGTGAAGAAATTGAGGACCCTCACACGTGCCACTTGCGTGGCACTCTGCAATACTCCACCTCTGCCACCTTCCGCAGCTGGGGCACCGCACGCAGCCCACGGTGCCCAGAATTCGGCCCATGTCGTTGGCCGGCTCTTCCGCTAAGGCCTCGCATTCGTGACACACGCTCTGGGCATTTGGGTGTAGGAGAAACCCCCCAGGCGTTCCGATCCCCCCGGAAGGTTCAGGACATAGACCAGTCTACCCAGGCAGGGCGTCTCCCTCTGGAACATCCACCGCCAAACGTCGCGTCGGAGTTTGATGCCACGTCGGACGAATGGACGAACAGGCGAAAAGGGTCGAAAGGGTGTTTCGGAGAGACGATGTCTTCTTCAGATGCCTTTTCCAAATTCTGTCTCGGGACCCTGGCTCTTTCCAGTCCCAAACCATCCATACATTTATCATCATTTATAATGACACATCGCCATGTAGTATGCCATAATTACATGGAGAGTCCGGAAACACCGCACAATTCCTGCTTCTTACAAACATAACCCAAAACTGCAGCGCTCCAACCTTCCAAACCGACCTGAGCGTACAGAACCTTCGACGTCGTTGAAATGCGAAAAAAACACCGCCAACAAAACCGAATAGAAACAATAAGCTATACTAGTAACAAGTGCCACGCTACTAGTAACAAGTGCCTTACTAGTAGTAACAAAAAGCTATTAGAAACAATCGAACGACCGACCGATCGACGCAGTCGCTGCGACGACTGCGTCCTCGACGGTCTGAACGTCAAAGCCCGACCGGTGCCCCGAACCTGTGCTCGGTCCATATCGAAGCCCGGCAGGATCCAACCTGCTCCACCGATACCGGATCTAGAGCTGTCTGGTTGTCTGGGGGGCGAATGGGGCGAAAGCCTTCCGTGGAGGTGAAATGAGATGAGACACCAATGCGCGAAACCCTTCGTACTATAGTTTCTTGTTACTGGTAGCGAGGCCCCAACTGTTGCTAGTATTTTGTTTCTCTGATTCCCCAACTGTTTATCAAATGATACTGATACCCGGTTTGGTTGTGCAAAGGTGCCTCACAAACCTTTGGGTATGGGGGATGTTAAAAAGAGATTTAGCCAAACGAAGTGACCTCATGTCCTGGACACCTAAGAAGGACCACTTGATTATGTTGCAATCGGAGCGCAATCTGCTTGGAAGTTGTCAGTGTAAGAGTTTGAAGATACGAATGTTGAATTGTTGTTTTTGTTTTGTTAAAACCAACAAAAATATCAGGGAAAACCATACGATAACGCAAATTTATTATTTTACTTCTCACTAGGATCTCTTTTGTGTGCACAACTGGGTTCCTGGCCGGCTTTGGAAGCTTTGGTGTAGGCATATGGTTCCTGAGCAGGCTCAAAAAGGCGCCGTCTCCAATTCGTGAAGGCCATGCAGGTCCTCCCTTCCTTTTAGTAGGAACCCACCCATTTCATACCTCAATCTTGATTGGAGGTTGTGCCCTAACTACGGTTCATGTTCACAAAAACTGCCCCAAGAAAGTGCCAGAGCTGCCAAGCTGAATTGTTCATGTCAGGCATGTTTTTTGTTCCTTATCATACCCTCTCTCCAATAAACATCCAAGTGCACAACCGACTGTGTGCAAAGAAACGTAGTCTTTTGCAGGGGGTAATTGAATTGTTAACTTCCATGAGCTTTGCAAGGAGGGTATAAGTTGGCGTATGAATTTATTCCCTACATATGAATGACGGTCAGAAGTACTTGTTCATTGCCAGAACCAGGAAGGCCGGGTGGGTGTGGCAGTGCACCTTTTAGCATTGATGTTGCATCTGATCATCTGACATGTGAAAACCTTTGTCATGAAATATGTTATCCATGGATCTGTCCAGAGTACCAAAGGGTCCAGCCTGGTATAAAGCAATTTAAAATCATTTAAAATCGGTCCTTTGAACAGTACGTTTCATTGCTTCCCTCACGATGCCGAAACTTGTTATTTGTGAACGGGATTGTTTTTGATTTAAGTGCCCTCGAGAAAGGAAAAATGGACACCAGTAGAGTAGAAACCAGTCCTACAGTAGATGGACCAAATATTCAAGCCCATGTGTCAATAACTGTCGCCAACCCCTGACCCCCAAAGGTCAATGTTGAACATAACTTGATTGAATTTGCGTTTCCAGGGTTTGATTTGTTTCGTCCATTCGCCGAAGCATTCTTGCAAGACCTCTAACATTGAGCTTTGGGGTAGGAGGGGTCCTCGTGGTTGAAAGGGTTTGAATATTTCGTCCATCTACGGACGGCGATTGGAGACCTACAGACGCACATGCGTGTGTTGTTTTCAAGTGATGCCGGGCAGTTCCAGCTACTGTTGCCATGTGCCGTGTCTGTTCCCAGTCCCTTTCCAGTGCCTTTTGCACTTTCTCGTGGCCCTGCCAGCAAAAATGTGTTTCTGGTAAGTTTTGTTGAAACAAAAAGATAAGCTATCTCTTTTTAGCAAAAAA